TAATATCAAACTTTGCCATTTTCTTTTCTTTATATTGTTCTTATTCTTGTTTTTGATTTCTTCCTCCTTATTCTATAATTTTTTTACGTAAAATTTATGAACACGTTATCGGCTTTAAAACGTGAAAGATCGCAGTATTTTTTGTAAATAAAAGTTATGACACGAACTACCTCATTCTAATTAAATTTATTAGATTCATTTACTTTTTAAATTTTACAAAACTAAAAATATTCTACACCCCGATTTAAATCGATATCGTTGAGTTGTATAAAATTAACACGTTCACAGAAAAGAACATTATTTTATTTAATACGTTAGTAGATGTTTAAATTATTTTTCGTTGTAGGGTTTTCTATAATATACATACAAATACGTTTAAAATAAAATATACATATGTATCATCGTTGTTCGAGAAAGATACGCCAACAAACGGCAAAACTGAAATAGTTAACTTGTTATTCAAACGTAGAAGATGCAGTTCTTGCCAAGGACGAAAGCTAATTTGATAACTTTCTTTTCGTAAACATCCCTCTGAAATCGCCCGATTTAGCAGTCGCATCCCTTGTTATAACGTGATAAAGAAAGTTGTAAAAGTTTGTTTTCAGTATTTCATTAAAACATCTTTAAATCACTTAAGAAGTCCGCAAAGTTCCCGTAATAAATACATCAAAAGAGTTGAGAACATTGTTTCCGTAAAATTATTAGTGTTTTCTGTTGGAGCTAATTTTCTTTTGTTAATTCGTGAGACTGTACAGTGAGAAACGGGCAGGATGAGTTTAATTTCTATTCCACATATATTTTTTATTGAGGCCGTTTGGTGAAAATCCATTCATGTGTTTTTTTTAGGTAAGGAGATATTGATTATATATATAGGGAGTATAATGATCATTGTCATTATCATTATCATTAGAAATTTGATGTTTAAATTAATTTCTTGTTAATCAGGTTCTGATGATGTTTAAATATATCAACCAAAGCTTGCCGTAAATCTAGTCATTTGTTTCTCTACATGACCTCACCTTGATTTTCATAATCATCACACTAAAGTTTAGTTTTTACGTCGTCCGACTAACTGTGCATGTAGAAATGTTTCTTACATTGCAAGAAAAATTGAACATGATTCTGCTGTTGGTAAAAGTGGAAGGAAATCTGCACCAGGCAGAATCGCGCTTTAATAAGATCCTGAGCGTCCTGTTAATCGATGTTAGTGAAAAAATTGTTGCAAATATTTTCTCTCGTTACATCCGAAAAAGTTTTTTGAGTATAAACATGAGAATGGTTGCTCCAAAATCAACAACGTTTGCACCCTTGAATTCTGCATTTATTTATTTATTTTTTTTTTTTATGTACATTGATGAGTACCTTTTATCCTCACTTAACGTGAGCAATTAAACTCATTAGGGAAGTTCACCTATGTTATTGAAGTTGAAGTACATACTCTTGTTCTAAGGAAAATCTTAAAAAAGGTTACAGTGACAAAAAATTTTCATAAGATCGGATAGACAAACAGCTATTAGTTAGTTAATGCATACCAAATTTCCAAAACCCGGAGAAACTCAGCAAACCTCATCATATCTTAGATATCATGACACAACGGAATTTTGGATAACAAAAAAGCAGACACATTGGCCAGAAGAGGATCCTGAACTCTCTTGGGATAATAAAAACAAACACAGAATCCTCCATCACAGAACGGACTCAAAAAAGGCCAAATGAGAAATGACTCTAGAGGTTTTAGACACGCTTATGCTATAACAACCCTCATCAATACTAGCAAACTCACTGTTAGAGAGGAACTCAGGAAATTCTAAGGAAACTCAGAAGACTGCTTACCGGTCACTGACATCTGAGAAAACATCTGCACAACATGGACATATTCAATGATAACCACATTTATAGTTTATTTACTGAGGAAAAAGAAACAACCACCCATATAATTATCGAATAAGAAACAGTTACTCAATGGAGACATTACCTGGGATACAATGAAAACCTAGGGAAAGAAACAATGACAGTCAACGATCTAGTACTTCTTAGAGAAAAGATCGTGTCGATTGCAATGAACTAAGGAACTAGGAAGGGACAATAAGCCAGACGACTGCAATACTTGGGGATCAAAAAACCTTCTTCCCAGTTTCCATCTTAATCATCACCATCATCATCATCAATATTACATACTGCATTAGCAATTCAAAAAATAAACGCTTATCCCTCACCGTTTGTTAAATTAAATAACAATTAAAACATTCTTTAAAATTTTAACGTGGACGAAAACTAAACTTTTCACATGGTAAGTTCCTGAAAATTGTATATCAAATAATAAACTAAAAAGATAGTTACATCAATTTATATTTTTGCCTAGAAAAAAGTCAATAAACGTATACGTTTACGTATATAATACTAAATATAATAATACATAAGATATTTTTTTAAAATCGAGCAATGCAATGTACCTATCAATCATGTAGTGATAATAAACATTGCTTGGAAATATAATCCACAATATTCAGGGTACCTGTGAACTGATGTCAATACTTAAGGAGGTTTCCTACATGTCAAATTGGTTAAGAAAATCCCAAGTGTTCAAAGTCCGCTTTTTGATATTGTATTCGAGATCACTACTATTTACCGGTCACTGGCATCTGAAACATCTACCCAACATGGGCATATAAAATAAGGACACCCATTTGTTGGCTATTCGATGAGGAGAAAAAAAAACAGCCACCCATCCCATCTTCGAATACAAAGCAACCGCGCAATGGAGAAATAACCTGCGATACAAACAAAACCCACGGAAAGGAATTACAGGAACGACAGTCAATGTCCTAGTACTTCTTAAGAGAAGGAACGAGTCGCACTGAAATATGGAAGTAGAAAAGTTCAATAAACCAGAATGCTACAGTGCTGAGGGAACAAAAATCTCCAGTTCCTAATATCCATCCATCATCGTCACCATCATTATCATCTTACTATTTCAAATAGTTAATTTCCTATCCCGTTATACCGGACAATTAAATCAAAACTTTTTGGCTCATGAGAAACTAGGCAATAAATAAAAATTTACGTGCCTCAGGAGTTTTCCCAGAAACGTCATTAAACATAGGGGTGACACACACACACACACACACACACACACACACACACACACACACACACACACACGCACACACACACGCACACACACACACACACACTGGATGTGGTAGTAAGAAATTATATTATTTAATTGTTAGTTAATGTATTCCTTTTGGTTAGGTTCATTGTAGCAGTTATAAATTTTATGGCCTTCCTGAGGAATAATATTAAAACCATAAGTCACAGAAAAATATGCTCTTAGCCTTGCGGTTCAGAAAAGTTCCGAAGCCCAAGGAAATGTAGTCTCTAATATACTAAGCGTTTTAAATCAAGTTTACTCAAGCTAGTGCCAGTGGGATCAACTCCAGTTTAAATTTGCTTAGAGTAGTGTTGAATAATGGTGGCACGCACACTTTTTATATTGGCTCCACGTCTTCCAAGGATTTTCAGAGCCTATCCTAAGAAGGCGATTCAAATGATCTCCACTAGTTGTAATTGCTATCACGTCGTCACTTAGCAAGCCTAACACTAGTATAAGTTATACCGGCGTTGTGGGAAATCTCTTTTAAATTGGGCTTCAAGGGGGCCACACGGCGTGCTATTGAGGGAATTTTGATGAAGGCTCGTCGACATCTGATAGGAACCTTAGTAATTCTTCCACCCTCCTTGTTCAAGATACTTTCCCCCTTCAACCCCTTGATATCACTTGTGGAATTCTCTCATCTAAAAATTTTTCCGCCCTCGAGTTAACAATTTTCACCATCCTCAATTGTACATTCTGCTCAATTACAGTTAACAAGGGAGTTTCGTTACCAAGTCAAATAACCGTTTCGTTCTTTTGTCAAATTAATTACTCATTGACCATTTTTCCTTTTTGAAAAAAGACTATTGTTGAAATTTACACTAAGCCTATTAGTTTAATCATTTTTATTTCAGTTTCTTTCAGCAGCATTTCCCCATTGCACAATCGCCCATAGATTATTCACCTGACGGCCCTTATACAGGGTATCTACAGAAGATGTCCTTGTTTGATAAATCTTTTATTTTCTTTATGGAGTCAAGTTTTCATGTTTCATTGATTCCAGAAATAAATAAAAAAGAAATTTTGTTTCATCGACCGATGTGGAAGACCTAGAGAAACTCTCATTTCTCTAACTTCTATGAAAATTAGGTATCGACCTCGGGGCAATGCGAAAAATTATTAAATGGTCTAGATTTAAAATTCAAAATAAAAAATACGGGTGGCCTCATTTACAAACTTACGTACAGCGTGTTTTATGTCAAAAAGAAATGAACCAAAAAGTTATTTCTAGAGCTGATGAAACATCTAAAACTTCTAAACGAAAATTTAAAAAAAATTATCAACATCGAACCAAAATTAAAAATTTAATTAGACATATATAGGACTAGACATGGGTAGGCTTCTTCCGTATAAAGTCGAGAAGGTTGTTTTTGTGATTTTATTTTGTATTAGTATGATTTTACGATGTTGCGTTGTGTTATGGTAAGGTTAAAATTATATTTATAAACCCAGTTTCTAAATAATTAAAAATTAAGTAAACAATTAGTATAATAATGTAATATAGTTGTTTCTGACATTTGTGTTCTTGGAATGATATTTATGTAAGGGAATTATCAGGATGTCGAAAAGATACGAATGAACTAATTAATTTGTCAAAGGTGAATTGTTTCATACTCTCTCGTCTGTGGAAAGAAGGATGTCAGGGCGTGGCAAGCATGGGATAAAACATTGTTTATTAAAGCGAAAGGACACTGGGTGGGACGGCAAGAAGGGCAGTAATAAGGTGTCACAAATCAGGGTGTCAGCTCTGGAGAGCAGCCCATAGCCAATCAAGCTCTCCCCGATCAATCTCCAACTCATACCTTTTTCCCTTCCCCTTCTTTATTTAAAGATTCAAGTCGACATGTTCGCTAACGCCATTCCTGTCGGTTTTGTTTAACTTAAGTGACAACCGCAACTGACGAGGGTCCTTCTAAAATCTCCAATTTTCTATAGTTTATATTCCCAAGGTGATTTCACATCATTGCTCGCCCGGTAAGAAAAGTATTAGTGATTGACACGATGAAGAATTCGTTTTATGCCGTTATCAAACATGCTTTTATTGAAACATTTTAACGGAAATATTTGTTTTCCTCCACCGTTTTAATTATTTGTATCTTTCTGCGTCATTACAGTATTTTATTAATGGGAAATTATTTCAATAATCGCTGCAGCAGACACAATTGAAAGATTTATATGGAAAAATTCGATTTGGCATATTCGATCAGTAAAATGTATGCTAATAACTAATTTTATTTGGTTTAGTGGTCCGCTTGGCCAAATAAATTATATTAAATTAATTAAGGTTTTGTTTGAGATAAAAGAGTCAGAGTCACAAACGGTATTCGAACCCAAGACCTTCGGCTAAATACGCCGCTGCTCTACCACTTGAGCTATCGTGACTTCGACCCACTCGGACACTACTTCCCATCTCAACCCCAAAGCCACCGACGCCCCCCAACATCAATATACCTAACAACTGTATTTTAGTGTCATTTGATGTATTAAATTATTCATAAAAGCCCGTGTCAAGGAATATTTACAATTTGCCTGTACTAAAGGAAATGTTTATGATTTAGTGTTTTTTGCCGTCTGACACAGTAGGTCAACATCTGTCTTGCTAGTGAATGTACTATTACTGTATGGCTGCTAGTAACAATTTTTTGTTTATCGTCCAATACATGAACTTCATAAATAACCCTAGTAGTGATGCAGTATTAATCAAACCTCAGTGATAAAAGACAATTAATGGAGCCTCAGGTCAAAAATGACTTCTAGGCAATTTGAATATTTGGATGGTATTGGTTTTACTTGAATTGCTTTAATGATTATGAAACTAAATAAATTCACTTATTTTTTTTCAACTGCTTATCACTATAAACAAATTCCCTTTAGGCCATTCAGCTTGTGTTTATTTTAGCGACTTATGCTCAGTGCTGCAAATATTGGAGCAATGCTTCTTGATGATACACTTTTTCAGGAGACAAAAATTGGAATACCAAAGTCTCAGTGGTAGAAATTGTGCTTAAATCCTAAAATGACTTTAATTTCATTTTATTCAAATAGGCATAAGGTTGTAACTTATGCAAGTACAAATACCTTTCAGTTATCAGACTCATGTTTACTTTTGCAAGTATACATTAATAGAATAAAAAAGAAGATATAGAGGTACTTACAATTTATTGCTACTTTTGAAAATGTGGTCATAGTCAAACCATATATATTTTACCTTCAATACAGTATCATGTAACAATGAGATAGGAAATATATTCAAAATTAAAGAGCGGAGAAAATTGGTGATATTCGAACGATATTTGATGATATGTATAATTTGTTGAAGTCATGAGGAGCGGCCAAGAATGAAGTAGTTTAGAAAAACAACTTTTTCATTTTTTTTTTTGCTGGGTTTTGACCTTTATTTGGGTCATCTTCAGGGCATAAAGTGTGGTGCTATTCTTGTGGTGTGTTGTGTGAAAGTGTTAATGATATACTTCAGTCAGGAAGGAGAGTTCAAGGGAATTCGACAGGATGCAAGTTTTTGAATGAGTTCATTTATGGTGGTTTAGAAAAACAACTTTTTCATTTTTTTTTTTTTTTTTGCTGGGTTTTGACCTTTATTTGGGTCATCTTCAGGGCATAAAGTGTGGTGCTATAGTAATATATAAATCTATGTGTTCCGTACATAAAATGGAGCATTAAGAATTTTTTGCAGGATTAAAGATTGGTCAGTTTGGTTGTGGTGGATGTTCAAATGTGGCTGAATCCCAACACTTCCAATCCATAAGTCCACATTGGATTATTTATCATTGAGACGTTAAAACTGGATATCCAACCAAAAATCTCTATTTTTTTTATTGTTATATGAAAATTCTTTTTAAGTTTTAATGGGCACTAAAACAAATTCTAAATTTTTGTCAATAAAAATAATTTTAAGAATACTTTACTGGAATACTTTTTAAATACCTAAATTCATTAATAGGAAAAAAATCGACTGATTTATTTATTTGTTTAATTTTATTTAATTTTTATCTAACTTTATTGAGCTAATGCAAATTACAGTATTATAATCGTATTGTAATCATGAAATATGACATGAAGCCCAGCAGCGTTCTTCACTTAAACAGATTATTAGTAAATTTGGTAACAATAACTTGCAATAATTAATTAATTAATGGTAATAAATACGAATTTAGGACGGTGTCAATGATGGTCGGAGTGGTGGTTAATGGTCGGAGTGTCTCTTCCTTTTTAATCGATTTGTGCTCATGGAGTTGAAGCATCTTGCATCAGTTGGGGTGCTTCATAATGGACCGGAGATATCAACTGTATGCTTTCTTGATCCTTGAGCATCCCCTAACTCGTGAACCGCTCATAATAGGCCAGGACCTACCTGGCTGCCCAGTGGGTCGAAGTCACGATAGCTCAAGTGGTAGTCAAACAAAATCTTAATTAATTGAAAATAGCTAATAACTAAGATCGTTAAGGTCTAGGGTTGAAGGTTTATGGGAAACATGTAGCTTATTAAAAAGGGAATGCTACGGATTTGGGCTCTACGATTTCAATGAAACTTTCTTTGGTGATACTAGGTCGAAAATTAGAAGAAATGTGTCCGGGTGTCATTAACCTCTAGAAACCAAGGAGAAAAATATTTTAATCAATATACACAAATCTTATAAAATGCGGTTTCCTGCATCTATTTTAAGGGGAGTATACATCAGTCATGGTAGCCTCCGGTTAATAACGTTTGCTCCGTGGTGTGTTTGGAACCGAAATATCCACAAACGAGATATCACATATATTTCTACATATATGTATATATAGTATATTTTTATCGATATATTCATTGAAATGTATCGATATGTTCGTTTTTTTACGAAAAAAATAATTTATGAAAATTTGACTATAAATCTTCCTTATTTATTATTGGATAAATAATTTTAAAACTTAGATAAAGCCGATGCCTACGCAAAAGGCTGAAGGATAAGTTAAGTTTACCTAAGTTTAGTCACAATTAAAATTATATGTCGATGTTTCATAACAGACGGCACCCTCTAATCCAATTTGCCGCATTGAGAGGGATAGTTTTTAAAATTATTTATCCAATAACAAATAAGAAAGATTTATAGCCAAATTTTCGTAAATTAATTTTTTCGTAAAAAAAACGAACATATCAATATATTTCAATGAATATAGCAATAAAAAATATACCATATATATGTAGAAATATATATATCTCGATATATCGTTACACTTATACTAGTTATGTGCACGTCTCATGAGCCACTATACTCACCTTTAGGGATGTCCAAGTCTTTGTGGATATTTTTGTTCCGAACATACCACGGAGCAAACGTTATGAACCGGAGGGTACCGTGACTTCCCATAAAATAGATGCAGGAAACCGCATTTTATAAGATTTGTGTATATTGATTAAAATATTTTTTCCCTTGGTTTCTAGAGGCTAATGACACCCGGACACATTTCTTCTAATTTTCGACCTAGTATCACCAAAGAAATTAATGAATTGATTGAAATCGTAGAGCCCAAATCCGTAGCATTCCCTTGTTAATAAGCTACATGTTTTCCATAAACCTTCGACCCTAGTCCTTAACGATCTTAGTTATTAGCTCTTTTCAATTAATTAAGATTTTGTTTGAGATAAAAAAGTCAGTGTCACAAGCGGGATTCGAACCCACGACCTTCGGCTAGATACGCCGCTGCTCTACCACTTGAGCTATCGTCACTTCGACCCACTGGGCAGCCAGGTTTGTTCGTGAGCCTATTATGAGCGACTCACGAGTTAGGGGATGCTTAGGGATGGATGCTCAAGGATCAAGAACGCCTTCAGTTGATATCACCGGTCCATTATGGAGCACCCCAACTGATGCAAGAAATTGTACAGGGCCAACCAACTCCTTGAACACAAATCGATTAAAAAGGAAGATACACTCCGACCTTGTGCCTTCCTAAATTCGTATTTATTACTGTTAATTAATTAATTATTGCAAGTTATTGTTACCAAATTTACTAATAACCTTATTTTAAGTGTTGCTTAAGTGCTGTTTAAGTGAAGAACGCTACTGGCCTTCATGTCATATTTTATAATTACAATACGGTTATAGCACTGTAATGTGCATTAGCTCAATAAAGTTAGATAAAAATTAAAAAATTAAACAAATAAATAAAACAGTCGATTTTTTTCCTATTAATGAATTTAGGTATTTAAAAAGTATTCCAGTAAAGTATTCTTAAAATTATTTTTATTGACAAAAATTTAGAATTTGTTTTAGTGCCCATTAAAAACTTAAAAAGAATTTTCATATAACAATAAAAAAAATAGAGATTTTTGGTTGGATATCCAGTTTTAACGTCTCAATGATAAATAATCCAATGTGGACTTACGGATTGGAAGTGTTGGGATTCAGCCACATTTGAACATCCACCACAACCAAACTGACCAATCTTTAATCCTGCAAAAAATTCTTAATGCTCCATTTTATGTACGGAACACATAGATTTATATATTACTTTCTTTCAAGAAGAAATCCGTTCTGCAAATTTCACAAAACGCTCCCAACCACCATAAATGAACTCATTCAAAAACTTGCATCCTGTCGAATTCCCTTGAACTCTCCTTCCTGACTGAAGTATATCATTAACACTTTCACACAACACACCACAAGAATAGCACCACACTTTATGCCCTGAAGATGACCCAAATAAAGGTCAAAACCCAGCAAAAAAAAAATGAAAAAGTTGTTTTTCTAAACTACTTCATTCTTGGCCGCTCCTCATGACTTCAACAAATTATACATATCATCAAATATCGTTCGAATATCACCAATTGGTAATTTTCTCCACTCTTTAATTTTGTATATATTTCCTATCACATTGTTACATGATACTGAATTGAAGGTAAAATATGTATGGTTTGACTACGACCACATTTTCAAAAATAGCAATCAATTGTAAGCACCTCTATATCTTCTTTTTTATTGTATTAATGTATACTCGCAAAAGTAAACATGAGTCTGATAACTGAAAGGTATGTGTACTCGCGTAAGTTACAACCTTATGCCTATTTGCATAAAATGAAATTAAAGTCATTTTAGGTTTTAAGCACAATTTCTACCACTGAGACTTTGGTATTCCAATGTTTGTCTCCTGAAAAAGGGTATAATCTAGTAGCATTGCCCCAATGTTTGCAGTTCTGAGCATAAGTCGCTAATATACCTAATGGCCTAAAGAGGATGTGTTGATAGTGATAAGCAGTTGAAATTTATTTAGTGTCATAATTATTAAAGTAATTCCAGTAAAACCATTACCATCCAAGTATCATGTATTCAAGTTGCCTAGAGGTCATTAATTGTCTTTTATCACTGAGGTTTGATTAGTTGGTTAATACTGCATCACTACTAGGGTTATTTATGGAGTTCATGTATAGGACGATAAATAAAAAATTGTTACCAACAGCCTTACAGTATTAGTAAATTCACTAGCAAGACAGATGCTGACCTACTGTGTCAGACGGCAAAATACACTAATTCATAAACATTTGCTTTAGTTCAGACAAATTGTAAAAATGGGGTACTACGTCTCAGTAATTCGGAGACCACCTTTGAGTCACCATACACTCCTGCAAAGGAGGTCTGGCCAGTGGGTACATTTGCATTTGAAGTAGTGCTTGACTGCATGAGCAATCAAGACTGTTTATGATGTAGAATCAATGCAAGTACTCTGCCATTCTGCCCTGCTCCATCAGAATTGGCAACAGCCTATAAACAATTTTTAGGAGATGCATAATGATGGGGTCACTTCTTAAGTCCTCTCGTACCTACTGGCTGTGCTCACCTATATCTTTCTTGACTATGGCTAAGGAACCCTGGTATACGAGAGAGGCAGGTCATTACTTCAGGAAACAGCCTTAGCCATCCAATCCGCGAGTTCATTCCCCGATATCTCAACAGCGCTCCAACCGATGGGAAAGAAATCTTATGATACACTCCATTCTTCACAACGTGCTTCTTATTTTCTCTATGAGTGGCAAATGTATGTGTGTATTGAACAGGGTGTTAAGGGTGATCCTACAATCAGTCAAGATTGGAACCTTGGTCACCTAATGACAATGATGCTCCACCTATTCGATGGCTATGGCTATTTCCAGTTGTTAATGTTGTATGTGTATGTGTGTTTGTTTGTATGGGGTTGTATAAGTAACAGGGGTGACTGAATGATAATTTAGCATGTTGGAATGTTGAATATTCAACTGTTCATTTCTTAAAACTAACATGCGCACTAACCTTATTATCAGCAGAGAGAGTTGACTTGAACCCCCTGGGAAAGGAAAAAATTAAGTTAAAATTATAGAATAGTAGACAACATTCATGTAAACAGTAAAGTTAATTAATTGAAATATATCCTCGGAAGGTAAACAATCCTCACCTTTCAAACAGCAATTGAACCAGCTAAGCCTGCACACTGTTTAACACTCACAGAACAACTTAACAAACTGTTTAACACTCACGGAACAATTTAACGCACAGTTTAAATATCACGCACAAATACTAAAACCATTTAGGTAGAGATACCTGGAACATAAAAATGTAACAAATTAAAAAACAATAAATTAAATGTACTTTGAATGAAGAAGAAGAAATGATTTATTCTGGAACAGGAGTGTCCCTTAAAATAACACATAGGTTAAAGTAAGAGTTGTTAACATTTCAACACAAAATTAAACCATTAACATTGTATAAATTCTTTTTTTTTTTTTTAATTTTCTAGCATTGTATAAATTCATAACTTTTTCCACATCCTACATGTATTTGTACAATTCAAACAATGTTTATAAATCCCAGGCTCTGAAGGTGATCTCAATAAAGATTGAAACGTTGGCATGATAAAGAAAATGTTTTTCTAAAACCTACGTCACACCAGACCGCACCTCACGATCTCCAAATAATCACTGTATTTTTTTTTTTTTTTTCAAATTACATCTATGCGGTTTACATAGAATAATTTTAAGAAGTGAGAAACAATTTTTCATGTAAATCAAGTAAAAGTAATCAAATATCATACAATTTGCCTACATTTAGTTCCGATATTACCAGAATGCAAAATTGACTGTACAGAACTTAAGTTGAGATTTTTTTACAAAACAGTAGTCCTATGAGTTTACTGATGTAGAATGAAATGTTTATGCGATAACAATTTATGATAAAAACAAAAATAAACAATTATATTAATTAAATCTAAGAATGATGGGAGGGGATTTGTAACTGGTTTATAGGTTGGTTCTGTGGGACTTCTTTATTTTTGATAATGACAGTAAGGTGTGAAAATGCGATCTGGCTCAAAAGTCTCGCAAAAGTTGGTTCTACTCACAAATTTGTTGTTTTCGACTTTCGGGATTTCAAGCTTAAAGCTTATCAACAGAAGAAAGGAGTTTCAAGCACATCTTTCGCGTTTCGATATGAATTGCAAGGGTGAACCCGCTACGCGCCATTCACTGATCCCCCGCCAACGACGATCCAATGAGAAGCTGGATTTAATGCCGCTCAAGTTTGAACATGTGAAATACGTTAAATTCAAATATTATCTAAATACTCTAAGAAAATAATATTAAATTATTGATTACTTTTGATGTCAAATATTATTTAGGCATGTTAATTTTACATGTTACATGTTGTTTTATATGTTTAATTTTTTATTTTTTTATTTCAAATTTCTCACACCAATCTAGTTTCCGTCCTTTGGTGAAACTGTTTAACACTATTGTATTTAAATTTAAATTGAAGTGCTCCCGACCATATTCATAGAATGTCGACTACATAGAGTTTCCAAAAAAGGACAGATTTAATTAATTTGTCATTTGATTGGAAAAAAAATTCAATGTGATCCATGATTATTCAGCTGAAGTGGGAATAATGAACAACCCATTGGTAACCCTTTCATTTCATAAAATTTATTACTAAATTTACAATAATTATATTTAAGAGGTATATTATGTATTTCTTTACAAATTCTCTAATAGAATTCTCCATAAGTTCTTGTTTTATTAATTTGGTACATTCCTTAACAGGGATATTTATGAATAATTTAGTACATCAAATGACACTAAAACACAGTTTTTAGGTATATTGATGTTGGGGGAGGGGCATCAGTGGCTGCAATGGTTTAGGTGTTGACACGGCGCTCATCACTTTAACGTAAAGGCGCTGGGTTCAATCCAGCAGTCCTGCATTCGAACCTGACATATTATAAATGGGCTTTTTTTCAAAAACACCGGCACCCTGAAATTCTGCTCTTAATTTGTCTCATTGTTTTTACCAGTAAATATTTGTTTATGCTGTGTTTTGAAAAATGTTTTGAATATCAATTAGAGGTAAACACACTTAATCCTTAATCCAAAACAAGGATAAAGTTTTTTCACTATTTAGTTTTTACGGAATTTAAAATGTTTATTCAGTCTCATTTGAATTCTGAAGCTTACAAATTGTTTAGTTTTCATTTTTTAATTTTTAAACTTAAAAAGCCACTTAGTTCTTAGGATGGTGTCGCACTCATTGATGATGGTTGTTACATCAGGTATACGGCTATGGTCATTGAAGTTCCCTATGAAACTTGAAGCGAGATGCTGTTAGACGTTTTTGAGAATCTGGATCCAACCATAGAAGGCCTGGTACTGGACACCCTAAGGTAACAGAACCATGGGACAATTTTTTGACTTTGACAATTTTGCAAAACCTGCACCTTACTGTTGTTCAAGCGATTCATCTCCAGGAAGTTCGAGGCTCGAAGAACATTCAATCAGTATGGACTGATGGCTTTTCACCCTGTAAGAAGACCATAATTGGCTAGAACAATCAGAGTAGCCCGGCTCATATTTTCTTGAGAACACAGCCACTGGTCTTTGGAATATGTGTACTCTGCATAATTTTTACAGATTTTCTCTATAATCTCCAGATGGGTGTGAAAGATTGTGGAGAAGGCAAAATGAAAGCCTGTAATTTTTCCCACAGCCACCCTTTTCAACGTAGCTCAGGATGGTGTGAGCAGGAATTTCAATGGAAAGTCGCACAGAGTTGGTTGTTGTTCATGGAGGGTCTTTGACAGGCACTCGCTATGTGAATGAAATTTTGGAACAATTGTTTTTGATACAAATTTGAAGCCTTTATTTAATTTTTAAAATTGTTTTCTTCTTTATTTAGGACCATGACTGTTATGTTTATAAACCTTGGGTAAAGTTCACATAGTACTTTTAGGATTATCCTGTGCCTGCAAGGAAGTCATCAAAGCAACTGCTGCTAAATCTGGTCTACAGAACAACCACATCCTAGGTGAATTCTTCAAAAACATACAAACCAACACATAACTGACATTCACAGGATCAACTCCTTATTCTCCAGGATCCACCACCTTGGTACTCATCGCAAAAATCTTTTGTTCACCTGTCATGAATTGGACTCGACCTCCCATAACTATATCAGATTTGATGGCATTTGTATAACCCTTCAGAAACCTTATACAGGGCCATACAAAGTTCTGTGATGGACATCAAAAACAAAAACACTTGATGTGGTGATGGGACACACTATCCGAAGATCATCAGTCAGCCTTCATCACAAATCATGTTGACTCTGAAGAAACCCATTGTTTCAAGCATTACCAAAAAAACAATTATTTTATTTATTGATCTTTTTTATTGAATTTATTTGACACAGAAACAATATTTAAACCAATAACAAATCCTTCCATTCTCAGAATGAATTAATATATTTTTTTTTAATTGTGTTTTTATCATAAATTATTATTACATAAACATTTCTTTTTGTTGTTTCTTGCTTGGAATTTCCATAATATGAATTATTTTAAACATTAATAATGTAAATCAATCGATTTAAGTACAAACAAAGATTGCTTTTATAACAAACATTATGATTTTAGGGGTATATAAATGAGCGGAGGCCCAACCTGTGTTAATTTTTAAAATATTATATTGATTGTTGACCAGGCTAATATGTTTTCTTTCATTGTTTGGCATTAATTTGATTTATTTGAGTTTAGCAGTTCAAACATCATTCAAAAATATTATCATTCCTCTTAATAATCCGTAAGGTATGATTCAGCTAGTAAATTTATATATTGACTTGAATTTAAATACGAAACATTTGGTATTCATCACCTTTCCTTAATAAATATTTATTTATTCAAGGCTTTTGTCCTCTGGTAGTCCTCTTAGGTACTGTTTAAATGTGGTCTGAATAACGTTAATGATTTAACAAATAATTGCATAGAAAAGTCGTAGAATTGTAAATTCAGCACTCCCCAAAAAACAATTTCTTTTAAGCCCCACCAACTGTGGGATGATACTCTCACCAAGAAATGGGTGGAAGCAGCCCCAGAGCAGTCAGACAAGAATAAGCATAACCAAGAGCCGAAATGACGATCATCAAAAAGTCGACAAGTATGTGTGACTAATGTGCAACTGAAGGACAGACCGAACAGTGACCTTAATTCTTAAGGATCAGTTTTGTGTCTGTTAATTTGTAGGTATGAAGTTGTGGACACCGGTCAATTTCTTTATCATCTGCCTCATTTTTCTCTTTGCTCATGGTAAGGGTCATTTATAAGGTCATGCCATAAAAATCTACACTAGCTTTATGTAAAATTTAGTGGGATTCGAACCGACGACCTTCAGCTAAATACGCCGTTGCTCTACCACTTGAGCTATCGTGACTTCGATCAACGCGGACATCAACTTCCCATCTCAAAATTCGAAAGGTAGGTTGAGATGGGAAGTTGGTGTCCAAGTGGATCGAAGTCATGAAGCTCAAGTGGTAGAGCAGCAGTGTATTTAGCGAAAGGTCGTGGGTTCGAATCTTGCTCATGACACAAACTTTTCCATTTCAACCAATACCTTACATAAAAATTAATTAATTAAAAGAGTTATTTGATCAATCCGACCATGAAATATAATGAATCTACATAAGCTTAAGTTTTCAATTGTAAGATTAGAAAAGCATTGGCATTTTTGTATTACAAATAAAATGTTGTGTTTAACTGTTTAACATAACATTTAAGTTTGTATCATTATGTTAAAAAATCGAACAAAGTGAATTCAAATGAAATAAATATATTTTTTTTTCTTTCCAAAAGGTAGATTGGGGATGAGGCCAGGAAGACAGAAACAACATTTATTTTCTTGTCGAGCTTTCGGCAGAATATATCACCTTCATCAGGTCTTAAAAAAAAAATCGTTATACTATATGTACAGGTACATGTGTGGTACATGGTGGTGATGAAGGCGGTATATTCTGCCGACAGCTCGACAAGAAAATAAATGTTGTTTCTGTCTTCCTGGCCTCATCCCCAATCTACCTTTTGGAAAGAAAAAAATATATTTAAACTGAGAAGGCTGATCAATCACCAAAGAAAATACTAATCAAATGAAATATTTCTCATTGCTCAATACCGTCTTTAAAATTATGTTGCATTATGTTGTGATATTTAATAGAATTTTTTTCAGTTGATCATACAAATTGAAAAAACACGTTGTTGCTTAGTGTCAACTGCAAACTATTAAACTTGGAATATTTCATAAACTTATGCTGATATGATGTAAAGTGCAAAATCCCCGGCTTCTTCAAAATTGGAGAAAAAGTGTATTGAAATGGCAAAACAACCATGCTGATTTAAAGAGCATAGTTTTCAGAAAAAATAAAGCAAACAAGTTCGTTATAAATAAACAGAGCAAACACCCCATGCAATGTTAATAAAAATTGTACATGCTTCGTGAACTGAGAGGTTAGGTTAACAAACACACAAAAAAAAGAGAATACATATTTGTTTTAGAAAAAAAAGACTTATTTGCACACTAAATGCTTGACTAAAGGAATTCATAAATAGTACAATATTTAATACATAAAATATATGATTATAACAATGTACGCTCATAATTCAAAAATTTGTACTCTATGTGAATTGATAAAAGAATTACTATGCTTAACACACAAAACATTGAACACTCATATTTTTTTGTTTATTTGAAACTATATGTATTTTTATTTATAATTACAGATTACTTACCACAGAATCCAAAGATAGTTTAAAAGAAGCATTCATCAGCGACCATGTTGACCCGAAGGAACTCACTGCCTCCTGTACACATCAGCCGCAAAAACTATACTTCCAAGGAGTAGTGTGGTGGCCCCCACTCAAATTGTACAAAAATATTGTACTGGCAACACTGATTCAGAGTGCAAGACAGCCAATGAAAAATGAGTAATAAAACAGAGTGCCTTTACCCTTTAAGTAATAATCATTATTTTCTAATTCAGTTTAATAATTAATTCAATTATTAATATTGGTTCAAAAACTCAAATCTCTCTACTGGCAGTCAGGTTAGTGTGCATGTTAGTTTTAAGAAGATAATGATTGAATATTCAATATTCTGACATTTTAACATCCCGGACCCCATAGAGGGATGGTTCGCGTCGGATGGGATGAGGATGGGCATGTTAACTCCTTGACCTATGGATTGTGAACTTTTCCATGTCAATCTAGATGTAACGGTTTTTATCCACATCCCCAAAGGGGTCACAGTATAAAAATAACGTTAAAATGATTAATTTGGTGAAGTCATGAGGAGCGGTCAAGAATGAGGTAGTGTAAAAAACACCTTTTTCATTTTTAGGCTGATGTTTCGACCTTTATTTGGCTCATCTTCAGCGCCTGGGTAAATTACAACACATGTTAATTAGAAAAAATATAATTTAAGATGTAAATATCAATTTTGAACCAAGTATTTCATACTTGCATAAAGTATGGTACTATTCTTGTGGTATCATTAATTTTGTGTGAAAGTGTCATGAAATGTGAATTCTGCTGTTTTTATATGATTGTGACTGGGTGGTTATGATCAAAGAAAATTTCCCCTGATTTACCAATCATATAAAAACAGCAAATAGAAATTTCGTTTCACAACACTTTCACATAAAAACCAATATGACACAACAATAATAGCACTACACTTTATGTGAGTATGAAATACTTGGTTCAAAATATATAATTACATCTTAAATTATATTTTTTCTAATCAACATATGTTTTGTTATTACTCAGGCACTGAAGGTGACTTGAACAAAGGTCGAAATGTCGGCAAACAAATGAAATAGGTGTTTTCTAATTTATCTTATTCTTGACCGCTCCTCATGCCTTCAACAAATCATGAAAGAATAGGTCACTAAGAAACACACGTTGAAATGATTATTGCAGATGTTCCATTCCCCTCTGGCTGTGGGCAGCCACTGTCCGGGTCTGGGGGTCCTGGTGGCTAGGGCGTCCATTGTCCTTTTAAAATTACTGCGATCAGTAGGAGGATAAGGCAAAAAAATGTTAAGTCATCGTTTAATCATTCCTGTTACTTATACAATCCCCACATTAAAATAAACACACGCACAAACAAACAATTAAAATTTATTTCAGTCTCTACTTCTTTGAAACCACGTTTGGTTAAATGAAATGAGTTTTCCTCATGTTATCATTTTCATGGAATTATTAGTTTTTATTGTATTTTATTTATTTTTTGTTCCATTATGTAAACAATTTGTAAAATTTGTCTACTAGTGTTAAACTGTGCAAATATTTACATAGTCCATCATTGCTGTTTTAATGCGTCATGTTGCCTTCAGAGGGTAAATATCAATTTTTTTAACATATACTGTACATGAAATACATAAAATCCATGAGGGTGAAAGGAGATGGCCACAGACACACCGGAGACATGCCATGGAAGAGAAGCAGATAGAGTGGTCTGGTTATGACCATGCTTTTTAAATTCCTTTAGCTGACTTAGGGAGGATGTACGTATTGTGCCACCATCCACATCCTCCATGTCTGGGATCTCATTTAATTTGACAGCCTGGATGAACCTGCTCTACACCCACCCCAGACCCCAAGCAGCCCAACCTGGTGCACCAGAAGCCCCCAACCCCAGCAGTCCCAATTTTAAATTTCTTTATAACACAATAATTATTACATTTTGTCATATAACTTGGTGGATTTAAGAAATTCAAAAACTTTAAGTATATTTTCTTCATTACCTGAAAGAATTTTGAGAAGGGTAAGAGGTAGGGCACGAATGTTTCTGAACCTATGAACATTTAACATGATGTTAATACGGATTTTGTGGTTGTGGTTTGGTTAATACGGAGTTTGTGATCAACTCGTTGCACACTGTACAACTAGGAGGCAATTTCCATGCCATTAAATGACCCCTAGTGATTCTGCAATGCCTGATTCTCACTCTAGTTTAGACTAATTTATTACATACATATAAATTTAGAACAAAAAATTATATTTCGGTACTTCCCTCTCTGCTGTCAAAAAGCAAAGCTTACACTAGACATTTTGAAGATCCTCAAAGATAGAAACAAAATATATCTTTGCAAAAGCAAACAAATAAACAAACAAAACAAACAAAATACAGAATAAATGTGTAGTTTGAAAAAAATTCTTGGCTTTAAAATACCTTAACTACAATTTTTAAATTTGAAATTTTGAATAATGATGCTCTCATTATTAAAAAAAAGTGCCATATTTTTTTTTAATGAAAAATTATAATAATGTGTAGAATTTACATTGTAAAAATATGAGTTGGCCCATGAATTGTGCCTTGTGTTATATTTACTGATGTATCTATTTACAAGATTGTTTTTATGTATAATATACATAAACATGAACATTTAAGAATGATTTGGTATACATTCATTAAATTCTTAAATTCACTGTACAATTTTTCGTATTACATCTATGCAGTTTACATAGAACAATTTTAAGAAGTGATTTTATCGTTACATCCAGAGTCTTAGTGTAGCATTTATTAGTACCTCCTCAGGAAACAATAACATAGGCTATTATGGATTGTGCATTTTTCCCTTGCTTTGCTGAATTTTTTAAATTTCTAAATTGCCATAAATCCAGCTAGAGCTTTGTAATTTTGTACAAATTGTAGGAATTGTTTTTCTTACTTGAATTTTTTACAGTATGAATTATTTTACACATTAATTATGTAAATCAATCGATTTAATCACAAGCAAAGATTTCTTTTATAACAAATATTACGATTTTAGAGGTTTAAAAATGAGCTCAGGTCCAACCTGTGTTAATTTTTATAAAATTATATTGATTTTCTACCAGGCAAATATGTTTTTCTTTCATTAATTTGGTTTATTTGAGTTTAGCAGTTCAAACACCTTACAAAAATGTTATCATTCCTCTTAATAATCCGTAAATAAAGCATGATTCAGCTTGTAAATTTATATGTCGATTTGAATTTAAATACGAAAAATTCGGTATTCATCACCTTTCCCTAATAAATATTTATTTATTAATGTCATTCGCTCTCTGGTAGTCTTCTTAGGTTCCTTTTAAATGCGCCCTGAATAAAGTTAATGTTTTAACAAATAATTGCATATAAAAGTAGTAGAATTGCAAATTCAGCGCTCCCCCGAAAAACAATTTCTTTTTAAGCCCCACCACCTGCGGGATGATACTCTCACCAAGAAACGGGAGGAAGCAGCCCCAGAGCAGAGCAGACAGACAAGAACGGACACTTTCAACGAATGCGCGCGACCAAGAGCCGAAATGACGATCGTCAAAAAGTCGACAAGTGTGTGTGACCGATGTGCGACTGGAGGACAGACCAAACAGTGACCGTACTTTCTTGAGACTCATTTTTGTGTGTCTGAGCCCGTGTTAATTTGCAGCAATGAAGTTGTGGACGCCGGTCAATTTCTTCGTCATCTCCCTTATCGTTCTATTTGTTCATGGTAAGAGTCATCTATAAGCTCATGCGACACACACTAGAGATTAAGCCTTTAAACTTCAGAATAGAAATTAAGCTTTTTTTTAGAATTTACATAAGCTTAAGTTTTCAAATGGAATATTAGAAAAACAATGGCATTTCTGTATTTCAAATAAAATGCTCTGTGTTTAACTGTTTAACGTAACATTTAAATTTTCATCGAGTATGCTAAAAATTCAAAAAGATAAATTAAAACATTCATTTTTCATTTAGCTTTTTTTATTTGATCAATGCATTCTTTAAAATTGCACTACATTGCGCTATTTAATAGATGTTTTCTTAAGTTGATCATACAAACTGATAAAGTATGTTGTTGCAAGAAATAATAGTGTCAACAGCAAGCTCTTAAACTTTTAATATTTTATACTTATGCGACTATGATATAAAGTCCACAATCCCCTTCTTCAAAATAAGCGTATTGATACATCAAACAAGTTCGTTACAAATATACAGAACGAATACTCCGTATGCAATGTAAATAAAAATTATACAAGCTCCGTAAACTGCTAGGTTAAATAACAAACACAAAATAAAGAGAATATAAATTTGTTACAGAAAAAAGTCCTGTTTGCACACTAACTGCTTGACTAATTGAATTTATAATGTGTAATAGGTAAACTGTATGATTATAAAAATATCCTATTTGAAATTCAAAAATTTGTGCCCTACGTGAATTGACAGCATAATTATTAGGCTTACCACAAAAAAATCGCACACTTGTATTTTTTTTTCAAACTATATGTATTTTATCGTTACATTAATTACGACATACTTATTTTAATGTATAACAAATTAAACGAGATCAGATAGTCCTGATTTTAATAAAAAATATTTAATTATGATGGTTTAAAAGACAATTCACCAAAACACCGGAAAATCATTTAATGATTAAAATTTAAATAACAACTTATTACTTGGTTTTACTCTTAATGACGCATATGAGGGCCTTAAGTCTTGTATGCATCGAGTGGATAAGCAATCCGATTTCATGGAATCTCATTCTTCAACAAGTGCAGATTTAAGCTGTTCAACGCTGTTGGAGGCGGCGAACGGTGTCTCTTTATCATGTCCCATAAGTGTTCTATGGGATTCATGTCAGGAGAACATGCTGGCCAATTGATTATGGTAATAACTATATCCTGTTGCTGATTTGCGAATTGTCGCCTTTACTACTTGTTGCCTTTCCAATAGTAAATAACCCAATGCGGGACGTCTACAAACTGGCTATTCTCACGAAGCCTGATGACTGTTTTATGTCACTCTTATATTTCGGACCGTTTGGAGTTGTCTACCTACCAAGGAAACCTTTAAATGACCCTTCCGTCGTGCGATAAAATAAATAAAGCAATCGTCTCTAGCCGTCGTACTTGCCTGTTAACATTCTGTTAACACGCTATATAGTATGCTGTTCTATAACAATATGAGATTAATAGTCTCAGTGCATAAT